AATAAAACAATGCTGATTATCAGATTTACTTAGAAACTAGAATACCTACCTTACAGTTCCTCTTTCAATGGATATTTCATGATTTAGAGAGATAAAAGCATGCAGAACAAGGCATACAGAACAGTTTTTCAAAGAAAAGGCTTCACTGAGGTATACTGAGTGACTGAGTTATTTGCTTCATCTTACACTGATAGCTCCTCACATCAGCTATTTAAGCCCCATGCATGCCCTCCTGCTCAGCTGTGATTGCCTCTATGCAACGTCTTTCTTCTCAAAGTCTGGCTGTCTTGTTGGCTTAACCCTTCAACCTTATAATGTAAAAAGAAAAAAGAAAAAGAAAAAAAAAAAAAAAAAAAAAAAAAAAAAAAGCATAGCTGACATTAAAAGCCTTCCCTCCTCTTGAAAAAGAGGTTTACATGAGGAAACAGCTGTCAGACCCCAAAGAGGACTGAAGCTTGTAGGCTACTCTTTCCACAATCGGTCTAAGAGGTCTAACTAAGAAGAACCCAACACCCAACATAACCATGTTATTAACCATTAGAAAGAGAGCAGCTGTTTGCAAAAATTGTTTTTGTTTGCAATGTCACAGGAAGTCAGTTGTAATATTTGATCTCTGTAGGTTGGTGCACTGTACATTTTTCACTTAGTGCTGAGTTCAGTTTTTAGCTTGACAGTGGAAAACGTGTGAAGCTGTTAATTAGTGCCTCCTAATTCCTTCAACAAAGCACTGTGAAACAAAAATTAATATTGGTGGATTTTTGCTTACAAAAATATCCTGTCAAAATCAAAAAGCAGTTGAGTGTCTACAGGGGACTGCTAGGGTTTTAGTCTGCTGATGACAGAACAGAAATAGTAATACATGACTAATTTGAAACATTGTAAATAATTATAACAAATAAGCACTGAGATGAAAAATAGTACACAGAAACAGAAGAACTAAAGAACTCTGAACACAGGAAAATTCATCATGAGTGAGGTTTCTGTCTGTGTATTTCATTAACAGAAAGGGAAAAAAAAAAGTTAAAATCAGTCTTATGCGGGACATGCATCTTTTGCTCAAGTGAAGCCCAACATTGCCCTTAAGTTATGTCATACAACCACGTTTCTGCCATCCTTCTTCTGGAAAAGAAGCTCTTTTCCAGGAACTGGGGAACATCTAGTTAGAAAGGGGTAGCAGAACTTTCCAATAATCTGTTTTCCTATTTTGCATAACATTGTCTTTCTTTTATACTTCCTACCTTTCAAGCTAAAAGTTTGCTAGAAGCGCTGACTGCTTCTTTCAAGGTACAGCTTCAGTTTTTGAGGGGGATTTTGTTGGGGCAACAACAGAGAACTGTAATCTGAACTGACAGAGTCTCTGCAGTCCTGTGCACCCACACAGTGTGCTCACAGCAAGCTGTGTTGTGGCCACATGCCTCCATATTAGCAATGAACACTTGAAAGCATATTCAGCATCAAATGAACCACATTAGATCAATTAGCAAAGACGTGACTTTAAAATTTCTTCAACATTACTTGTTCACTGCAGTGTCACATCATTTCAGGATCCTCACAGGAAATTCAAAACTCAGAAACATTCACTACTGATAAGAAATGAAAAGAAAGACAAAAGTGTCACCAGTCAAGCAGCTAGCAATATCACTAGAAGCTACACGAGAATGATGTATGTGTGAGTTTGCTGTGAAGTCACTTATCTGTCCTGGACTCTTCTCTAATGTTTGCATGATTGACATGAAAAATCAGTATGGTTCCTACATAAACATGCAATTATAATGTGAAAACAACTGCTTTCCCTGTGTGGCTGTTGAATAGAAGAAGATCCCACTTTATTCTAATAGCCAAAGATCAAAATTAGTCTTAGGACACATAAAGAATGTTTTGAATGTTTCTGAGCTATTTTTTCCTCAGTCATTTTCCCCTGTCTGAAGAAGCTTTTAAATTGTCACATAAATTTTACTTATTTAGACAGTAACCATGTCTTCTTTTGACATCAAATTCTAACTCGCATAAATGTCCTTTAAATTAGCAATATGTCATCATAATTATAAATCAAAACTAAGATTTATAATCCCCCACTCCTAAAGGCATAATTTCACTTTCTTACAATACAGTACAATAGCTTATCCTCTCCCAGCTTCTCCAACTAACAGGAAATGCAATTGCAATCTTTCTGTTGTATTGGTGCAAACCAAGAATTCAATAGAGAATTTTAACTCACTGACCTTCTCCCTGCAAACCAATCTACTGATCCTGGGACCACAGATTCAGGGCAAAGGAAGAGATGAATTTGGTTGATTGTTTTTACCTTTCCTTACAGAAATGAGCATTACGTAAGTGAAATAGAAAGACAAGAGAAATACTGAGAGAAAGAGTTTTGCCTGATGAAACACAAATTCAAGCATATTCAAAATAAGGTGTTATTTTTTATCATGGGGATCTATCTTCTTAATGAGGCATTAAAGTTAAAGAAGATATTTCCAAGGACTATCTTATTAAATAACCAACAAATTCCAGGGCCAAATTCATCTAAATGTAACTAAAGTGTAGTTATTCTAGGGCTTGGTTTCATCACCTTCTTTTCACTGTCTAATTTCTCATGAAAAGTTCACAAATATACTCAATGCACAACTGCCATCATTTTTTTATTTTATTTTAAGAAGATAACAAGATTATCTGACCACCTAAAAGAGGTACAGCCAGAGGTACATCAAAAAAAGAGAGGGACCGAAAGGACAACATGAAATAAATGCCACAGGGTCTGGTTACTTTATTACCCACTCTTCCACCACTTTTGTATTCCAAAGAAGAACTTTCTTTTTTCGGTAACATAGTTTTTAATAGCATCAGAAAGTAATTGGTTAAAAGGGATTACTATTCATCTTATTTCTATAGAAAAATTTAGTTCTATGGTGACCTTTGAAGCTCACTAACTCCTGGGCTGAAAGCAGTTGACATCACCCCTTCCAGTGGATCAAAAAGGAGGATTTCAGATTTGGTTGACACAAAGATATGTTTGGCTTCTCCTGTGGAAGCAGCACTGCTGCTGATGACACCAAGAAGACCGAAGAGCCTTTCTCTGTGGACATAGCTTATACATGCTTATTATATATATTATTATACATACAAGATGGAAGAAAATAGCCTGTGCTTTTGGAAATGTCAGGGCTAACCTAAAAAGCATGGCCACAGAGCAGTGTCGAACCTTCCTGCAAGGTAAGGGACTCGGGAAGGTGTCATGGCACGGTGTCTATGAGCTGAAAGGCACTTTCATGTACCAAGATGATAATAAGATATTAATGAAAAAGAGCCTGATCGACCCATTATGCAAAGGCTGAGGAGAATGAATGAAGTTCAAAATCAAAATCCAAACTTCAATAGTGTTTTGCACTATGTTAAAACCTATATTTCTAGTAGACCACTATATACCACACAGTGCAGTTCAGTGTAAATAAACACCTCAGACAGATGCAGTCCCACTGAACACCACTAGACCTCATTTGCTTTGCAGTTCAGAGGAACATGCCTGCATTTCCTATAGTGAGGAGTACTGGAGGAAGCCTGTTCCTAACAAGAAGGCTGACTCATTTCAGTGTGAAGGATGTTCTGTGCATGGTCCAGGACCACTGTGGATGGTCCAGTCTTCATACAGAGCCCAGAGAACCTAATGCAATGTAACAAAAGCTGGAGGGTATTGTTCTTCAATATGTGATGGAAATTAGAAAGCATTTTGACAGGTAGGCAGCTCAAGACAACACACACACTAACCATAAAACACCTAGAGGATTATGCTGCAGTTAAATGAAAATGTTTGGTCCAAAATAGGGTGGATATCTACTTCCCTAAAAAAAAAGGACCTCAGTTAATTCAAGAACACCTTCCTAAAGGTAATTTTTGCAACTGAGATAAATCCTCTGTTCTGTTAAATGTTTTTTTTAGAAAGTCTTGTCTCAGTTCACATTTGAACAATTCAGAAAGCCTTGGAATCTTTTCCCTGAAAGATAATTCAGCAATTTAAGTTAAGTAGATGCATTAAAACAAACCATAAAGACATGCCAGTTTAGTGAACCTTTATATGGAGGGAAAAAAAAAAAAAAAGATTTACTCTCCTCCTTTTTTAATGGTTAGCACACTTCTTTGCAAGCAAAAGAACAATTGACATTAAAAGTTAATACTTATTCTACTGAAACTCATCAAAGAACTTGTGAACCTGCAAAAGTTTATCCATGGTTTTATCTGCATTCTGTTGAGTAGTCACATTGATTAAAGGGTAATTACTCATAATAGAGGGGTCACATAGATAACATTAGTATTTTAATTGCAACTGACATACATTGGCTAAAATATACACTACAAGCCAGACAAGATTCATCTCCACATAAATATATATATATATATAATATGCATATATATATTTTGCAGGACAAGAGAGGTAAAAATTAAACAAGGAGATTAATTCAAAGATCTTTTCAAGAGATTCTTTCCCGATCCCTAATATATTACTATAAAACATCAGATATACATTTGTCTGTAAGACAGCATAGAGATGTTTCTTTAATTTTACACCTATTCCTGAGTCACTCACGGTGACTACATTTTACTCAACGGGAAAAGTGTTATCAGAAGGCCTGGAGCTACTGCCTGCCTTTGCGGGAAGGTGGGTGCAGCTTTCTGAAAAAGATGGGGGCTGAGGCCTGAAGACTGCTTTATCCCTGTATGTTTTATATCACTTTGTGACACCAAGCAGGGAAGAAAAACCACATGTCTAATCTTGAAAAGAGCAAAATGGGCCCATAGCTGCTATTAAAGCTGAGATTAGTTCAGAAATACAGTGATCCACCACCCTCCTAAGGCAATTAAGACTGCTCTGATGTCCCATTAAGCTTTCTGTTCACTTTGTGGGAGAAAAAACATTTTCTTATTGACAATACATATCTTCTTTGCAAGGAAGTAAAAATGAATTTGAATAAGAAGAAAAATATTCTGTTTGTCCTAATTCTTACCTTCCCTGTATGGGAACTTGAGTGAAATCCTTCCCCAAAGCAACACAGTCATCCTCCCCTATTGCTCTCTTTTCACAAAGCATCTGTGGCTCTCCAAGACTAGCTACCATGCCATGATATTCTCTTAATAGCCGCAGCTCATTGCAACTTCTCGTCCCCGGTTTGGATGCCACTGTTGCAGATAAACCAGTTTCATGTGAAGGGGTCTGATTCAGCTCCATCTCTTGTTGTCTAGAAATTGTACTGTCATCTTTGTTATCCAAGTACATCTGTCCCTGGGGGGTGTTCTCCTAAAGAAAGTGAAAACAAATATATTAGGACTAAATTGAATTGACTCAATGTTTACTTCAGTACAAGCGTGTTAAAAATGCCAAGCAGTAGATTTTTTGTGCACCTTTGGATATCTCTCTTGGTTTATTTCCACCAGGAATAAATCCAAAGTTTTAAACCTCTTTGTAACTTCAAAATTAGTCATTATAAAAAGCACAGAAATATATAAAGAGACCTTTTCCATGTCTGCCATGATTTTCTCCCACAAATTTTCCAGGAACTTGCACTGACCTGTCCCACAAAATAAGCCATAATCACCTATGGTGTGGGCTGGCATTGTGGCTGGTTAATGAGAAACAAATGCAGCTACAGTGCTATCAGTGAGCTTTGGGTTTTACTTCAGAAGCACAAAAATACCAATTCTTCAAGATCTGTGTGCGTGGAAATCCAGCTTATGCCAGGAAGAATTAACTCAGATTTACAGACCTCTTAACATTGGGAAAGTGGGACTGGGACCAAAATTCTGGCCAAATTTGAAGGGGAGATTTATCTGCTGATAAATCAGATGTGAAGACAGAACATCAGATATGAAGACAGTGAGACCCAAGCTCTTGTTGGATGCAGCAACTGCTCATGCCAGCTCTTCTGCCACCCAGCACCTGGGCACAGGCCTGGTTCCAGCAGGGACTGGCGCAGAGGCCACAGTTCCAGAAAGGCTCCCCCTGCAGAATACTTGGGGTTGTGTTAATGCCATTTCACCACATCATATGGCTTTTACCTTGACCACAGCAGTGGCCATGGCCCTACTGAAACCACTGCTCCCTTCCCGGCCCACAGGCTCCCTCAGAAAGCCGTTGTCAGGCTGAAGTGCTGCCACAGGCAGCAGCCCTTCGTTAAGCAGATCAGATATTCAAGGCTTCTGAAGACAAAATGCCATTTCACCAGCTGCCAGCGGCGCTTATGAAATGTGAATCCAACCTTGATGAAAATTAGGTTCTATTATATGATTATTAACAGTGATTATAATAAAACTTAGTGCGTAACAGTCAAAAAGCTTTTATACTTTGATCATTAAAATTTGATGTGAAAAGTTACAAAAAAAAGCACTTCAGAATACCACAAAGTGCCCAAATCAGACACAGAGACCGAGTTAGAGAGCAGCCCTTCTTGAACACATGCTGAGGAACCTAATTATGGGTCTATTTAAGTGCAAAGTGGCAAACCACCACAGAGGACAGCAAGAGCCTAGGACACAGGCCTGCCAGCCTTGTGTGTCCCCAAGGCAGGGGACAGCAGCCATTTTGGAGCATGTCCCCACTCCTCCCACGAGGGACCTCAGCAAAGAACAGGCAGGTAGACCTGCAGAGCCATGGGGCAGAAATAGCACAGTAATAGGGAATAGGCCCAGCAGGAGAAATCACTGGAAATGGAAATAACAGAAAGACAATTGTGGCTTCGTGCAGCTTTGAGCTCTCCCAGTCTCACAGCTCAAAGAGGATAGAGGACCCTGAAAGGAATGACTGAAATAGTAATAGAAACACAGATCTTGGCTCCAAGCAAAGATGGGCTTGCAAGACAAATCTAAATCAGAATTTCCCCAGGTGGCATATCCTTCTCTAGTCCTTTCTATTCTCAGTATCCTTCATTCTCATATCCTAATCTTCTTCACCTGACTTTATAAGGGCCTGCACTTAGATTGTCTAATTTGACTCTTGCCATCATTAGCAGCCTGGAAAACATCAGCACAAATAAGACTTTGCTTACTTGTCCTTTCTTGGTTTTCTTGAAAGAGAGGAGAAAGAAAGGGAAGGCAGTAGGGGGAGTGTGCTGAATTGCTGGAAGAAGTCAGCAAAGCTACTCCCTTCACAGGGATCCCACTTTGGGGCATGGCTGGCACGCATCACAAAACACTAATGACACTTAAATTTTCGATAGATGATACTCTCCCCCAGATATTTCCTTGAAGGGACAGGTCCCTTTGTCACCCAGCATAAGGAGCAGAAGCATGGCTGATGTAGTACCAACTACACCATCAGTGAGCTGGTCCAGGCATTTTCTACTGTCTGGAAAGCACTAAATATTGGTGACCCTTAACAAAATCCTGAGTAAAATCTGAGAAAACTGGGCTTGTTGCATTGTACCTTGAGATAAAAGGCTGGTGGTGTGGGGCAGGCCAACTCAAAGCACATGGAGGCCAACACCACCCCATCAACACCTTTATGCCACCTCTGGTAAGCTGCTGCCCTACTAGGCAGCCACTTGCTGCCTGTGCTAAAATCACAACCTTTCTTCCACTCTAATAGATTAGTCTGGAATGCAAATATTTCCAACTGCACATGGAAAATATAATAGTTCTTGTCTTCAATCTCACTAAGGGGGTGTCGAGAGGCAGGAGACCTTTTCTCCATTAACACCAGCGACAGGACCCGCGGGAACGGGGTTAAGCTGAGGCAGGGGAAATTTAGGCTTGACATCAGGAGGGGGTTCTTCACAGAGAGAGTGGTTGCACACTGGAACAGGCTCCCCAGGGAAGTGGTCACTGCACCGAGCCTGACTGAATTTAAGAAGGGATTGGACTGTGCACTTAGTCACATGGTCTGAACTTTTGGGTAGACCTGTGCGGTGTCAAGAGTTGGACTTGATGATCCTTAAGGGTCCCTTCCAACTCAGGATATTCTATGATTCTATGATTCTATATATATTTACATACCGGTTTTATTAAGACTGTAAATTATAATTGAGCTATCTTCCCACTTGTTACATTTTTCATAACATTTGGTTTGTCTGAGCACCTGCTGTGAAAGTATACAGACCTTCAAGTGATGTCAGGCTGTGGAAACATGAGCTCCATCTGTACTAGTTTTTTTAAAGATGAGAACCTGAACACAACCTCTAAAATTGATCCCGTGTCACCCCAAAAAAATGGGAGTTTTATCTTGAGTTGAGTAAGGACTAAATCAGTTCGGGTCTTATAAGTACAGAGCCTTAGCCTGAAAGAAATTTATTTTAAGAACTAACATCAATGAAAAATAAAAGAATGCCAAGGACAAGAAGCTTGAGAGAAAACCTGATGCCTGGATACCAAATCATAAATCACATTATTGCACATTCACAAAAGCTTTGCAAAAAGATAAAATAATACAGCATCATTTTGCCACAAGAGACAGGTTTGATTGTGATTACCCACGTAGCTAAAACATTGCTAAGGCAACTATCACCATGGTATCTAAGCTTCTAAGACATCGGTGCATTTACCATTCAAGAAAATCTCAAATGACTGCACTTCTCTGTAGTTACAGAACTTTTCTTCACTTTTTTTTCTTCTTCCTTTTTCTTACCTTACAATGCCTCCATCAGCAATGAGACATAGGTGAGATGTTACCATGTGAAGGTGAGGAGAGATTTTAGCCAAGGAAAGTTCATTTGGGGTTCATCTGTCTGGAGCCACACACCAGCAAGAGGTTTTTAGCCACAGTTAGAAATTGATCCAGCAACCACCCATCCGGACTTTGCCTATGACAGGGCTAATACAGTATTTAAGCAATATTTGTTATCCTTTTTCATCCTTTTCATCCCAGTCCAAGCAGTTGAACATCTGTTTTCAAAGTACTAGTACAGAATTTCTTTTTTTGTTAAGTTTTCAGATGTTAATAAGATCAACAGGCTATCTGAATTATTTTATTTAAGAGGGTTTGTGTAGCATGCATTTTAGTTGCAAAACGTAATGCTGGAGGCAAATGATGTAGCTGGTAATATATCATTTAAAACATTATTTTCCTGAGTATCACTAAGCACAATGTAGTATCTCTGCAATCAAAAATGAAGAAGAATTTAATCTTAGAGCCCATGAGGCTACAAAATGTGACATCTTCTTGAGCAAATATCCATAAGCAGTATGTTTTCTGTCTTGTGCATCTCATGATCCATCAAAGCCTTTCTCCCACCAAGACTGGAAAAAATATTACCTCTACACTCAGTCACCTTTGAATTACCAGGCAGAAAGCCAAATTCTAAAAAATATATACTGGAAGAGGGAACGTGTGGTGCTGCCCAGCAGGATATGCCACCATGCCTGCCTGGCTCAGGCAAAGGAGAGCGTGGCTTTTTAAGCAACAGTCATGTTCACCCCCCCAGGGCTCAGATGTGCCAGGGAGCCTCTCTCCCAAGGCAAATTAAAGCCAGATATTGCCTGCCTGGGAAGGCTCTCTACATCACCTGAGCCTAAATAAACTTCTCTACCACCAAATCCTCCCTCAGCCTACCCCTGAGCCAGGAGCAGAGGCCAGAGGTACAAGCTGCTGAGAAGGAGCTCACAAAGTGCTCACAGAGCACCCCAAGGCAGATGTGCCGCCAAGGCAGCTTTCTATATATGCATCTCCCTCTGGGTATGCATCTCATGACAGCTTCGCCACAAGTCAGACAGGTAATACTGTACTGGCCTCCTGTGGCAAAGATGCCTAAAAATTTTCTCAGCTGCAGGGAGGAAAGTAACAACTCCCAGTCTATAGCCCTGAGAAACAGCAGGGCTTCAGCACTACAGCTGAGAAGTCCTCCCATGGCAGGGTTGTTCCTGCAAGGCCATTGCCATGCATAACCCTGACCCTGCTGCCCAAAGGACAGGCGAGAACCGTTCCCAAGACTGGGTAAAAACCTTTACCCTAGACTGCAGCCAAAAAAAGACACCACACACACAAAAGCTCCCACACCAGCACTGCCAAAATATGCTTATTTATATTTATTTACTTTGCTTGAAGAAAAGGTGCTGGGGTGTCTAGCACTATGATGTGCAAGCAAGAATTCTCAGTGTTTCTTATTTGGTAGGTTTTGTCTCATAAACAGAAAGTGTTTCTAACTGTAGGAAGCAGGTGAGACTGGTTTGGGCTTAGAGGGTGTAACAAATTATTTTGACATACATGATTTGACAGTATATCCCACTGCTGCTATTTTCCACAAAAACTGTGCCTATCCTACTTACAGGATCTCCATTATCCCATAGGGT